GGGGGGGGGGGGGGGGGGGCCGGCTCACAGTCTCTAGAAAGCTGTAGCGGTCACGGCGGGAGCGACCCGGGTGACGGAGGGGCCGCTCGAGGACATCGGGGCGTTTGGCCGTCCTGTCGAAGGAGAGAGAGAAGAAGGAGGCGGCGTGAAGGCAGCTGCCGGCCCCAGAGCCGAGGAAGAGCTCGGGGACGGGGGGGTCCGGTCCCTGCCTGCGCCCTCCTGCCAGCCCCCACCGCCGGGCGCGGGGGACAGCGCAGCCCCGCTGCCGGGTGCCCCACGCTTGGGTGCGGGGCCTGATTCTGCCCCAGGAGGCGGCGGGGAGCAGGGGTGCTGTGTCCTCCCCCCCTGCATCTCCGAATCCAGAGCGTTATCCCGGCTCCACAACCTCCCCCCGAGCCGGGGCTACAGGGAGAGACCAGTCCCTTGGGCTGTTTGGGGAGGGAAGAGTTTAATCCAGGACAGACAGACAGACATACAGACGTGGCAGCCTCCCAGGCAAGCGCCAGCCTCCGCCACCCGACACGTTCCCGGGCTTTGCAAGGATCCCGAACCCGGAGACGCCGGGAGCAAAGCGCGGTGGCTCCGGGCTGTTTTGCAGGTAGAGTCAGTCTGTCAGCAGGAGCGTCAGAGCCGGCAAGCAGAAGTGGGAAGGACAGACAGACAAGACAAGAGCCCGGAGGGTGCGGGTGTCAGTGCCCCGTTAGCGGCCAGCCGGAGAAGGCGAGTTCTTACGGAAACGCACCCGCTCGAAGTCCGTGATCTCCACCGTGCCAGGGGCCACCTCCGCGTCCGGCTGGTGGGGAAACGTCGCGGCTCCTGGGGGAGGCCGAAAAAAAATAAAAAGAAAGAGAAGAAATTGGGGTGTGAACCCCCCGGCTCGCAGGATTCCCCACCCGAAGTGGGGAGGGGCCCCTGCGGTGGCGTTGTCCCCCCCATATTCCCCTCGCCACCTTGCGTCCCGTCCTCCGGCGGGCTCCCCGCCGCCTCCTCCTGCTTCTCCGAAGCCTCTTGCTCCGTGTCGGGTCTCGGTTCTTCCCCTCGGGGGGGCTCCGCGGGGTTCGGCGTCCCCCGGGGGGGCCCGGCCAGCTCCACGGGGCTCAGCCCTGGCGGCGGGAAAGAGACGGTCAAGCCCCCGTTCGGCCCCTTCCCTCGTCCTCCTGCTCTGGCTCCGCGTCCCCCCCCAAATCCCAGGGGTTCAGGCCAAGTTCGGGGTGCCCCCCCCCCATCCCCAGCCCCAATTTGGGGAGAGCCCCCCCCTCTCCTTTACCTGGAGTCTCTCCGGAAGCCCCTCTCGACTTGGGGACAGTGGGACCTGAAAGGGGACTGTCCCCCAGGCTGCTGCGGGGAGAGGCCAGCTCCATCTCCAGGCGCGCTGGCGGCCTTCCGCGGGGGAGAAGGGGCTCGGGGGGGTGCCGGCCCCCCCGGCTGGGGCGGGGGGCACGCGCAGTTTGGGAACCGCAGCCTGCCCGGCTCTGGGGGGACGGTGGGCTTTGGGGGACGCACTGCGGGGTGCTTCATCCTCGCTCGACGCCTCTGGGCTGTCTTCTTCCTCCTCTTCCTCCTCCTCCTCCTCGCTGACGTCCTCCCACTGGTCCTCATCCTCCTCGGGGCTCAGGGAAGCGGGGGCCTCCGGGAGGGCCCCGCGCGGTGCTTCCTCCGCCTGCGGACACGGCGTTGGGGGGGTATCGGAGGGGGAGAAGGGCACCGCGGCGCGGCCGAACGCCCGCCGGGTCCCCCCCGCCGCGTTTTACCTGCTGGCTCTCGGTTTCCTCGGTCGGCGCCGGCGGCTCCTTCTCCTCCCACCGGTTATCGTGCATGCTGGAGGGGGGGGAAAAAAAAGAAGATCCCAGCGGCTCAGAGACCAAAATCCACGGGAAAACAGGGCTCAGAGAGGATCCCCCCCCCCAAATCCTCACTGGGACGCGACCCCACCAACCTGTAGGGCTTGGTCCCGGCGCCCTGGCCGCGGCCCCGGCCCTTTTTCCTCCGCTGGGTGCGATGCGGGGTGAGAAATTCCCCGAAAGTGGGAGGTTTGGGAGGAGGGCGCTTGTTTTCCTCCCCGCCGCTCGCTTCCGAGCCGGGCGCCGCCACAGAACCCTCCTTGAACCTAAAGAAGGGAACGGGTGACATCGGCGCCGCCGCAAACCCCCCCAAATCACCCCCCGAGCTGTCGGTTACGTACATGCTCTCCGATTTCTCGGCATCCCACTCCCGCCGCCACTGCCCGGTGGGTTTACGGTGCCGCGCCAGGCGTTCCTGATCGATCTGTTCCCTTTCCTTTTTCCAACGGACGTATTCGGCTCGTTCCCGACCCGTCATGGAAAGCGTCATGTCCAACGGTCCCCCGGCTTTCGGGCTGGAACGGCGTCCCTGCGGCGAGACGCGGTTCCAGCCCTGTCCCACCCACCCAAACCCCATCCTGGCACCCCAAAAAACAGGGGGCGGGAGGTGGGGGGACCCACCGGCGTACGTACGGGGCCCTGCCAGGTCTTCTCACGCTCCATCCCCGCTTTGACCTTGTCGAAATCGGCTCCCCCCCAGTTCCGGACGTGCCGCCGGCTCCCTTCCTTACGATCGGCGTCCTGAAAGGGGCCGCTGCGGCGCGGATCGTCCAAAAAGTTGCGCACCGGGTTCTTTTCGTGAAGCCCGTCCTGATTTGGGGTTCAAGGGGGGGAAAAAGGGGGACGTTGTCACCCCTGGGGGGGACACTCGCAACCGAGCGACCTCCCCCCGATCCCCTTTTCCTCCTCACCCGCTGGTTCCTCTCGTACTCGGCGATCTTCGCCATCTCCTCGTTCATTTTCTCGATGTTTTGCCGCCGTCGCTCTTCCCACTCCTGGCGAGCAGAAATCAGATGCTTCCGAAGGCAGGCGGCACCCCCAAACCAGCCGGTAACCCCTCCCCGGCACCCCCAGGGTGCGGGGTGAACCCACCCGGCACCCAAAAAACCCACACGGACCCCAAAACACCCACCCGGC